GGAAGGAGAGGAGGAGCCAGTAGTATATATAAGCAAGTTGGCAAGGATGGGACAAGAGGTACGAGGAATAGTGGTAAAGGTAAAGCAAGGAGAGAAGTTGGTGGGACAAAAAAATAGAAAAAAAAGGAGGGAAGAGAGAGGGTAGGAGCTAAAGGGAGCAGGGAAGATAGTAGTGTTGGAGTCAGTCAAAGGCCAAAAAAGAGGAGCACTGCAGGAGGGGTAAGACCAGAAACACAGGGGGTGGAAAAAGTAAAGGATAAAACACCCAAGGCAGAAGAAAAGAAACCCACAACAAGAGAAAGGAAAGGAGAAGAGGTAGAAAGAGGAGAAAAAAAAGAATCGGTTGTCATGCATGTTCTGAAGTTTGGAGCATTTGACAGTGTAATGGGAAAGGAAGGCATCTACAGAGACAAAACCAGAACTAAGGTTCATAAAAGGAAAATTGTGTATAAGAGAGGATTCAACAAGATGACGACTTTCAAAGTTAGAAGTAGGGTAGACAGTTTTAGCAGAAGACCAGTCAGTAGGATGACTGCAATCTCTAACATGACAAAAAAGAGCATTGTTGGTGTTGGCAAGCCTAACACTACTCTTGTGCTCCTTGAGTCTGTCAGAAAGAGAATGACCAATTTCAACAAAGTACTGAAGAGGACAAGAGGAACATGAAATAGAGTAGACACCGGGGCATCTATAGTGGGAGGAGAGATATGAACAAGATTAGTGTGAAGGGTGTATTGCAAGCCTATGCACAGTGGCAAGTACAGTCACTACTTATGCTCCCTCTCTTTCTCCGTGCTCTCCACATTTGTGACCCTCGGTTCCTTGAATTGGAAATTTCCACTTTTCGTAATTCATTCTCTCGCCTTGGCTACTCTTCCCATTTCATAAACTCTGCCTTTTCACATGCTAAACAGACTTTCTTTTCTCCCAAACTCTTTACTCCTGGGACATCTATTCTCTATCTTCCAGTCTTTCTAATCTCAACAACTCTCTCCGTTCCTTCGACATCAAACTTACTTTTCGCCAGACTAGCACCCTTCACACTAATCTTGTTCATACCTCTCCTCCCGCTATAGATGCCCCAGTGTCTACTCTGTTCCTCTTGTCCTTTTCAGTACCTGGGTGAAATTGGCCGTTCTCTTTTTGACAGACTCAACGAGCACAAAAGAAGTGTTAGGCTTGCTGACACCAATGCTCTTTTCTGTCATGTTAGAGATCACTGTCATCCTATTGACTGGTCTGCTTAAACTGTCTACCCTACTTCCAACTTTTAAAGTTGCCATCTTGTTGAATCCTCTTTTATACACAACTTGTATGAACCTTAGTCCTAGCTTGTCTCTATAGATGCCTTCCTTTCCCATTACATTGTCAAATGCTCCAAACTTCAGAACACACATGACTTAACCGGATTCTTTTTTCTCCTCTTTCTACCTCTTCTCTTTTCCTTCTTCTTGCTTTGGATTCCCTTTCTTCTGCCTTGGGTGTTTTATCCTTTACTTTTTCCACCTCCTGTGTTTTTGGTCTTGTCCCTTGTGGGCTCTTAGCTCTCCTGCAGTGCTCCTCTTTCTTGGCCTTTGACTCCACCACTACTACTACTACTTCATTCCCTACTGCTTTTGGCTACCTTCTCTCTTTTTTGTCCCACCAACCTCTCTACCTACTTCACACTACCACTTCTACTTCCACTACCAGCTTTACCTCTACCACTATTCCTCCTACCTCTCTTTACCTGTTCCTGCCAACTTGCCTATATATACTGGCTCCTCTCCTTCCTGTTAGTGTGACTTTGTAAATGGGCCATGTAGGACCGCAACATTGTTGTGAGCTCCTCTCTCCTGTGTACTGGTTATTTGTGTATTGTTCCAGTCACAGCATTATGCCTTTTTGTTCTTTATACCTGTTAAAGATAAACTGACATGGTCATGCATTTCCCAGTGCCATACTGGTGAATCTACATTGACTTACTAGTGGACAAAAGATTCACCAATGTCCCCAAAGTGTTTCCCTTTCTAGTTAGGCCCCTTTCCTGTCAAGCTCTGCCCTCCTTTGTGGTTAGGCCTTGTTCCTTTTATGTCCTAAGCTCCCCCCCCCCCCTTTTTTTTATAAGCCTTATCCTTTTCCAACTAAGCTCCACCTATCTGACCATGGCCTGCCCCTTTCTTGTCAAGCCCTACCCATCTGACTAGGCCCTTCCCTTTTCTTGGCAAACCCCACCCCTTTCTGGTTAAGCTCTATATCTGACCATGGCCTACCCCTTGTCAAGCCCCACCCATTTGGTTAATACCCCTATCTGATTCTCGTCTCTCTAACCTAGGCATGCCGCAACCCCTTGAAAGAATATAGGACTTGGAAACTAAAGATCAAAATATGTTAGTTACTCATGTTTATTATCCTGTTTTGAGGTAAACCTCACTGAATAGTCTTGCTGTTAAACAAGGGATCAAGCCTTTTCTAATTATTGTGCTGAATGGCCACCCTGAATAAATAAAAGTTTGTCCTGCAAAGTGTGTGTTCATACCCATACCCGTTTCCATTATGCCTGAATGACCACTGATTTTATTTCCCTATATCACTGGTAGAATATACTGACTATGTTGGTTAAGACAATGTGCAGTTCAAGGTATCATGAGATGGTTTGACCACAGGGATTTTATCTCGACTCACACATTGCAGTCCAGATTTTATCAATTAATAAAGTTCCTGTTGACTATAAATTAATAAAGTCCCCTGGTGGACCAAACTTCTCAATAAATGCCATAAACTGCAATTGTCCATCGCCATTCCACTTACACTAAAAAAAAAAAAAAAAAAAAGACTATTCCCACTTTTTCTATATTAAAGGGAAATCTAACCCCACATATCTATTGACAGGATAGTCCTGACCTACATTTTACAATAAACTAGGGAACCCTAACACCTGGAAGGTCCTCATAACTCCCTCCTCAGATCATCATGGTAATCCAACAACTACAAAGACCTTTTAAATCCTCACTGCCTTAAGGTAGCCCAACAACTGGAAGGACCTATTACCTCCCAATATCCTTAACTGGATGAACCTGTTACCTCCCACTATCCTTAATTGGAAGAATCTATTTCTTTTATTATAACACATCAGCCATTTCCTACAAGGCAGGGTGGCATCGAAAAAGGAAAACTTTCTCTTATCAACTCATAACTCTTGCCAGAGGTCATGCTTACACTACAAGTTATAAAACTGCAAATATTAACACCCTTCCTCTCCAGAATGCAGTGCATGTTACTTCCGTTCTTCCAGACTTCAAGTCCCTGTTTTCGCCAATTCTTCATAAATGTTACCTTGCTCACACTCCAACAAGCACATAAAGTTCCTAAAAGCCATTTTTGTCTCCATTCCCTCCTAACACACACATGCTTGAATGGAAGTCCAGCACTCTCACACAAAAACCAACTTTACTCCCTCCTCTCCAACTTTCGCTAGGCCAATAAACCACCTATCCGACACTTCCTGCACTACAGATTTATACATTTCTCTAGTCATTGTTCGTTCAGTTCCCTCTATATTCTTTTGCATCCACCTCAATAAATCCCTATCAGCCCATAGTGATAACATTATGTTGATAAATTTACTGCACTTCTAATCTCAAATATACGGATCTCTGCATTATATTCACCCGCACATTGCCCTTTAGACATGACATCCCACTGCTCCACCTTTCTCCTTGTATCCCAATATCCTTCTAATTGGAAGAACCATACCTCCCACATCCTTAACTGGAAGGGCCTATTACCTCCAACATAAACTGGAAAGAAACCTATTACCTCCAACATCCATAACGGAAAGGACCTATCACTCCCAACATCCTAACATGGAATCCCTCAACACTGAAGGCCTATTTACGTCACCCCTTTACCCTATCTTTATGAAGCCCAGCTTTCTCACTAATTTGAGGCCCGCTAGAATTTATGAGTACTAAATACTCAAAAAACCCTACGCGTAAAAACGTCTAGTACGACGAAACCCTCAAAGGGTTAAATTGGGGGGGAAACTATTTCTTTTTTATAACAATCAGCCATTCCTACCAAGGCAGGGTGGCTCGAAAAAGGAAAACTTTCATCATTCACTCCATCACTCTTGCCAGAGGCATGCTTACACTACTAGTTATAAAACTGCAATATTAACACCCTTCCTTCAGAATGCAGGCACTGTACTTCCTGTCTCCAGGACTCAAGTCTGGTCTGCTGGTTTTCCTGAATCCCTTCATAAATGTTACCTTGCTCACACTCCAACAGCACATAAAGTCCTAAAAGCCATTTGTCTCCATTCCCTCCTAACACACACATGCTTGATGGAAGTCCAAGCCCTCTCACACAAAAACCAACTTTACTCCCTCCCTCCAACCTTTCCTAGGCTAACCCCTATCTCACCTTCCCTCCACTACAGATTTATACACTCTCAAAGTCATATTTCGTTCCATTCTCTCTATATGTCTGAACCACCTCAATAACCCCTCCTCAGCCCTATGGATAACAGTTTTTGTAATCCTGCACCTCCTCCTAATCTCCAAACTACGGATTCTCTGCATTATATTCACACCACACATTGCCCTCAGACATGACATCTCCACTGCCTCCAGCCTTCTCCTTGTATCCCAATATCCTTAATTGGAAGAACCTATTACCTCCCAACATCCTTAACTGGAAGGACCTATTACCTCCCAACATAACTGGAAGAACCTATTACCTCCCAACATCCTTAACTGGAAGGACCTATCACCTCCCAACATCCCTAACAAGGGAACCCTCAACACCTGGAAGGACCTATTTACTCCCCCTTTACCCCTATCTTTAATGTACCTCAGTAGCTGGAAGGACCTATGAACTCATATTCTTAAGAGTGTCCCAACTGAAAAGTCCTAATAACTCCTAACATCCTAGCAAAGGGAACCTCAACAGCTGAAAGGACCTGTCAGTTCCTTTCCTACATCCTTAATAACAATAACAAATCAAGGGTCGCTACGTACTCACAACCTTGACAGTAACATCAGCATCTTGAAGCTTGACATCGCTGAGGATGGGTAGGACGTCATCGATGATGGCCGCTCGCTCCAACTTGTCAAGTATCCGCTCTATGCAGCCCAGGACAGTGAGACAGAGAGCCACATCTGTTGGGTTCTGTTCATATATTGCCTTTGTCCTGGGCAGTACAGTCTTCTTGATGGCCTCTGAGTCGAGGTACTCAGAGGCGTTGGTTGCTGCCACTACTGCTGCCACCTGGTGGCACAGAAAACCAATGAGGCTACTTATGCTTTACTCCAATCACCATATTAATCACTATAGCAATAGTATTAGATGTCCTGTTGTCAACTGTGTAATATTTGTGTAGTATATAGATTCCTAATACAATTATAGCGAGGCTCCCTTGCTAGCCATGACATCACGTCCTCCCATGAACCAGCGAGTTAGCCCAGAGGTCTCTCCCTCACTCTTCAAACAGGCATAGAAGATAGTGGACAGGCAGGCCTGGGTCCTCTCTCAAGTATCCATAACATGTCTCCAAAACAGTCTACAAACTGTATACATTCACCCTTCTACCCCTCAATGAGCCCCACAAACTGTACCTCGATTGGTAGCGCACTCAGGTCACACACTGAGGTCCGTGGTTTGATCCCCGGCACAAGTGGAAACAATACTTGTTTCCTTAAGACACCTGCTGTCCCTGTTCACCTATCAGTAAAATAGGTACCTGGGTGTTAGTCGACTGGTGTGGGTTGCATCCAGGGGCCAAAATTGACCTAATTTGCCTGAAATGCTCTGCATAACAAGGGGCTTTCTATATAATAGTATGTCATTGATGTCAGCTAGGCATGTACTTGTAGAAATAAAGATTATTATTATTATTATATTTGGGGGAAAGGGAAAGGGTAGGGTGCAAAACCTGTAGAAGTCATGTAGCACCTGGGGAAAATGGAAGGCAGTCAGGTTCAATTCTTTGATCAAAAGCCCTCAACAGCATCAAGGACCCTCCCTTCATGCCAATGAAGTGAGAAGAGGCCAGAAATATATACAAGAAGCTGGGGAGTGGTGGAACAGTAGAGGAAGGGAAATAATTGTGGTGGAGATAGGAGGGTCATTATATAAAATAAGTCTTCAAAAGTGGGTTGGTTCATTGATGGTCTTGATCTAATGAGCTGGACATGACCTACCCTTCCTTGGATCAAAAGTGCCACCCATTTTTCCTAAGCACTGTATGGCCCATACAAGTTTAGCATTTACCCATGAATTTAATAATTTCTTTGGATCAAACCTGATTACCTCAGATTCCCCAAGTGTTGTATGACCAATATGAGTTTAGCACCCCCCTATTGCTATAATATACACAAAGTGAATCTTGCATCACATGAAGCCAGAAGATATGATTCAAGTTTTGCAAACACAACTCAGAAAGTACAGTAGTCCTTCTGTATCTGTGGGTGGTACGTTCCAAGACCTACTGCAGATACCTGAAAGAGTGAGCCGTAGTGAATTCTGTATGTCATTTTTTGTTTACATACCTATGAAAAAGTTTAATTGATAAATTACTCACAGCTGGTCAGGAATTAGCACTTTTTCACTGATGGGAAGTACTTCACAGCTTCTCTTAGGCTTTGAATCATTAGTTTTGTGCTTTGGAGCCATTATTAAGGAAAATTAAGATTATCTTTGGGCCACAGATAACTGAAACTGCAGAAATGGGAGTTCTACTGTACCCTCAAGGTAAATGTCTTGATACCAATGAAGGGCGTTTGATTCAGGGAACTGACCTATCATCCACTTCCTTAGATTAAACCTTATGTCCACCATTCCTGACTCCCCAAGTGTTTACCACTGCCCCATAAATATAATGCAGAAAAAAATATTTTAATGAGTCAAAAGATTTTAAAAAGATAAAATTTTTTAACAAGTTTATTAATCCCACTTTAATATTCCTCTATAATCTCATGTATCCCCTTCAAGGTAGGTCCTTGAGTGAAGGGTCTCTTGATCCAAGAAATTGGAGCTATACTCCCATTCCTTGGATCAAACCTAATTGCAACTACTTAGAGTAAAAAAAAAACATGGTGTTCTAGAGCTCGATCACTTGTGCACTCAGCTCATACACTGAGGTTCGGAGTTCGAATCTCTGGTACGACTGGATAATATTAGGACGTGTTTCTATAAGACACCTGCTGTCCATGTTCACCCATCAGTATAAAATGAGTACCTGGGTGTTAGTCGACTGGTGTGGGTCGCATCCTGGGACAAAACTGACCTAATTTGCCTAAAATGCTCTGCAAAACAAGTGGCTTTCTATATAATAGTTATGTCATTGATGTCAGCTAGGCCTGTATACCTTGTACATGCATGTACTTGTAGAAATAAAGATATTATAAATATATTATTATTATTATAATTGTGGAGTCCCTTCTAAATGACAGTTTGTCATAAATTTACAATTTTATAGAGGCTGTAGTACCTCTACTCCTCACTCCCTCACTTCACCTCACCTCACTTCACCTCACCTCACCTCACTTCACCTCACCTCACTTCACCTCACCTCACCTCACTTCACCTCACCTCACCTCACTTCACCTCACCTCACTTCACCTCACCTCACCTCACTTCACCTCACCTCACTTCACCTCACCTCACTTCACCTCACCTCACCTCACCTCACTTCACCTCACCTCACTTCACCTCACCTCACCTCCCCTGCATCTCTTCTCCAGCACTAGCACACTAAGGGACTTGCTAATGGTTGCCAACCATCAGCAGACTGAGGTTTAGGGTGATATAAACCCTGTTGGTGGCCCGGTGGCCTGGTGGCTAAAGCTCCCGCTTCACACACGGAGGGCCCGGGTTCGATTCCCGGCGGGTGGAAACATTTCGACACGTTTCCTTACACCTGTTGTCCTGTTCACCTAGCAGCAAATAGGTACCTGGGTGTTAGTCAACTGGTGTGGGTCGCATCCTGGGGGACAAGATTAAGGACCCCAATGGAAATAAGTTAGACAGTCCTTGATGACGCACTGACTTTCTTGGGTTATCCTGGGTGGCTAACCCTCCAGGGTTAAAAATCCGAACGAAATCTTATCTTATCTTATCTCTTATCTGTAACGTGTTGTGTAGCCTGGCAGTGATGGAAGGCTAACTACATACACACTACCACACACCTGGATTTTTATACCCCACTCCCTACCCCTGTATCTCACACCCTACCCCTGTATCCCACTCTCTATCCCTTTATCTCACTCCTTACCTCTTTATCTCACTCCTTACCCCTTTATCCCCCTACCCCTTTATCTCACTCCCTATCTTAATCTTGACAAATAATATGAAGTGTGAGATTTAATGCCAAAAAATATGGTACAAATTCTAAGTTATGTTAAAAACTAAGTACTAAACCTGTATGGGTCATACAGCATTAGGTAAGGAATGCAATACAAATACGGGTAAAGGCTTTCGTGCCAACAATTACATTACGTATTTACAAAAACAAAAGCAGGAAATAAAGCTAATACCACATACTTTTGTTGAACAAGTACTATCACCAAGAACTGTGGTGATGTTTAACAAATCTATTAAAATCAAAATGTTCCCAAACATGCTTAAATTAGATAATGTATTATTATGCCATGCCAAGAAAGTGGACACTCGTCTGAAATCAATAACTACAAGTCAGTTTCTAACTTGACACTACTGTACTATCTAAAATACAGTATTTGAAATATACACAAGCAGTTGATAAGTAAGACACACTTGCAACACTTGGGTATATTTATTGCTGAAACATATTGCTTGCCCAAACGGCTGCTTCTTCAGCAGACACCTGTGTGTTGCAGGTATGTCTTATTCATCCACCTGTCAGTAATGTATACAGGAGGGCCCTGCTTATACAGCAGGTTAGGTTCCAGGCTACTGCTGCAAAGCGAAAATCGCTATAAAGTGAAACAGTCTGAATATGTGAAGAATGGGTATAACTGAAAACCACTGCATTAGTGAAATGCTGTAAAGCGAAGCGCCATAAAACGGAGCCCCACCTGTTCCAGTAATAATAATATACACAATTTATGCATTCATAACAATAAATATCCAATAAGCCTCTTTACTGA